CATATACACTTCCCTCTTTTATTTGCCTGACATCCTCATTTGGACCAATGCTTCTACCTTCTACTTTGATGCCTTTAAAAGTCTCCATTGCATTTATTTATTTTTGTTTTTTAAATTTAAATTAGAAACAATTTTATTTTACATATCAATTCCTGTTCCCTCTCCCTCCCATCCCCCCACCAGCCCCCATCCTACACCCTTCCACTCCTCAGGGAGAGTGAGGCCTTCTATGGCGGATCATCAAAGTCTGTCACATCATTTGGGGCAGGGCCTAGGCCCTCCCTCGTGTATATAGGCCGAGAGAGTATCTATCCATGGGAGAATGTGCTCTCAAAGTTCATTCATGCACTAGGGATAAATACTGGTTCCATTGCCAGAGGTCCCATAGACTACCCAGGCCTCCCAACTGACACCCACATTTAGGTGTCCTGGTTCAGTCCTGTGCAGGCCCAGCCCCCAGCTGTCAATCTGGGGTCCATGAGCTCCCACTTGCTCAGGTCAGCTGTTTCTGTGGGTTTCCCCAGTATGGTCTTGACACCTTTGCTCATCCCTCCTCCCTCTCTAAAACTGGATTCCAGGAGTTCGGCTCAGTGCTTAGCTGTGGATCTCTGCTTCTGCTTCCATCAGCTGCTGAATTTTGTGTGCATAGGTATGGAGTTATTACTGGATTATGATCATCTTGCTGGTGGCTACATCCTCTGAAGAAAAATGACTGCCCCTCCTCTACATTAACATACATTAACAGCTAATGTCTCTTTCACCAGGGATGGGGCCTTACATGCCCCTCTGCCATGGTGCATGAATGTCAACAGGCTGGATCTTATGCAGGCACCTGAACTTATTATGAATGAGTGCAATAGCCATGTCATGTCCAGAAGATAAAGTTTCAGAGACCTTCTCCCTGTTTCCCAGCTCCTACATTCTTTCTGCCCCGCCTTCCCTGATGTTCCCTGAGCCTTAGTGGAGAGGTATGGTATGGATGTCCCATGTAATGCTTATCACAAAGTTAGACATTTAAGGAAAATTAAAATCAGCCTGGTTCTTCTATCATTGCTCTACCATAGTAAAAACAGGTGTTATTTTATACTCCCTCTTCTACGGCATTATGGAGAGTTTGGGGTAACATTATGAAATGTTCCACCCCACTTGGGAGAGAATGTTGGATAGAAATGTTGAGAGCCTGACATTGACAAAGATAGGAAGTGAGATGAGGCTTTACAAAGGGTTGCTGTCATGTGCTGCTCATAGGTACAAGGAGAATAAATAACTTGTCTTCTCTAAAAACATTTAAACTATTTTTTTTGTTATCTTACAAAGAAATGCATTTTGTGATGGCGTTTTCAGAACCCTCTCTGCTAGTCCCTTTCAGTACCCTTCCTTATGATTTCACGTCATACACGATTCTATTGTCCACTCTTCTTCACCCTATC